GATATGAACATTTACGACCAGCAACAAATGATGACAAGAGAATCGAGGTAACCGAATACCAGCAAGCAATTGGCAGCCTAATGTATGCTGCAACCTTCACAAGGCCAGATATCGCTTTTGCGGTTGGAAAACTGAGTCAATTCATGAGTGACCCTGCAGAACATCATGGATATGCACTCAAGACAATTTTTCGATACCTAAAATCAACAGTAAAATTTCGGATCCGTTACGGCCTTGGAGGAGAATACAATAACTTTAAGGTTTATTCAGATGCCGACTGGGCAAGTGATAAGAATGACCGCAAAAGTACCTCTGGGAGCGTCACCATGTTCTATGGTGGACCAATCTCTTGGTCAAGTAAAAAGCAGCGCTCGGTATCAACATCAAGCTGTGAGGCTGAGTATATAGCTCTTTCAATGTGTGCAAAACATGGACTATGGATTGCTCAAATATTTAGAGACCTCGGACTTCCAAAATATATCGGGAAGAACCCAGCACTCGTTCAAATGCTCGGAGACAATCAAGGATCAATTGCATTGACAGAAAATGCATATCTTAATGAAAGGTCAAAACATATCGACATTTGTTATCACTTTATCCGTGATCTTGCCGAAAAAAGGGAGATTGATAGTTGATTATATTTCAACTGATGACATGATAGCAGATGGCATGACCAAACCGTTGGCAAGGGTGAAGTTCCAGAAATTCATTGAACAGCTTGGTCTTAGCTTCACACAAGTTCCCGTGACAGGATCAAAAATAAAATTGACCAGAGACCAGAACCAGGACAACTCTTGAGGGGGGGTGTTAAATGACAAGGTGTGTCTGATTGGTGTAGGAACTTGCCGAGCCAGTCAAGGTCAAGCTTAGGAGTCGCGTCAATAACGCTACTCATGCAGATCAGTCGCGTGGAGGAAATTTGTACTTAGTAGTTATTGTCCGTCACTATTTTGTAAATAGCACACTATCGCTTCTCATTCTATCTGACCTCCTTCCACTGTGATAATTCTATTGTCTTCTCTACAGCTATACAGCTATAGAAGGCCTCCTAATTCAATAAAATCATCAAAATTCTAAACCTCAAAAGTAGCTAGAGTTTAGTTGAGAAACTATGGAATAACTTCATGCTCCTAGACTCGGAAGGGACTAAAAATAAATCCTCATTTATGTTCAATCTCGCTTGGTTGGAGACGTTAAGTTCCGATGAAGTGATGGAATAATATTCCTACCACTGAGATTATCATCAACCGAAATCTTGCCTTAGCTAGCAGTAATCGAAGATAAGTAGTCTTTGTCTAGTCCATATTGCGTGCAGCTCGGTCTGGTATGTCTAAATTTCAACATTTAGAACACCGACACCAGGATTAAATCCCAGAACATTGCTCTCTTTTTGAAGCCTTCAAAAAGAGACCAGCTAGCCCAGAGTAGTATGCCTATATATACCTACGAGCTTCTCTGTTCCTTCCTATCCTCCTTCCTACTCCTGATTCGTGCCGCAGGGCAAATAGAAGACCGTGAAAGGATGTATGAAAAGTCTTGGTCGTAGTAACTGTCGTGAAGGAGCCCTGCCCAGCATCAAAAAGTCGTTAAGGATGCGGGGTTGTCGGGTAACTCATGTATTTCAAATGACCTCCTGGCAAGTATATTTGGTATTAAAATTTAGAAGGGACGATACTGTAGACGAGTCGAAATCTGCTTTTGTTGAGGGCGGAAGGGTCTTTTGATTTGCTTTCGTGGACTTTTTGTTCATCCGTCAGTGGGCAGCACATGTTGTGATATAACAAGGGCTTCTCTGACTACTGTTGTAGCGCTTGGTACCGCATTATCCCTCCTTCCTAGAATCATTATTGTCGTCTTGGTCATCTTGTGCATTATTGGAAGCGTATCTTTGACGGAGGAGGAGATGACTCAGCACAAAGTTGAAAGGGTGTTGCTCAATTTCGGCTCTGCAGACTCTATAGGGAGAGCTTAGGACTAATAGAGGACATTGTTGATAGGTGCAGAGAGTTCGCCTCCACGTTGGTTCCAAAATTAATGTTGCAATGTGTAAAAATTGGCTTACGACTCGTAAATGCTGTAGAGTAATATCAATGCACGCCGTATGTCTGGCTCTTGAACACCTTCAAGGATTTGAGCTGCGCACAGGAGAAGCACAGTGGCGAAGATACTGTTGTCACGAATAAATGTACCACTCAGGAAATGAGCTTGTGGCGGTTTATAACTGGGTGATAAATACCAAATTTAGTGACTCGTGGCCGTACAACGTAGGAATGGTTCCGCGAGATGGCTTCAAAGACATCTTAAGCCTGAAGGAAGGAGACAACATATATTGCATTTTGCAGATCATTAATTTTAAGTAATTATTGTCTTTATGATTCATGAGACTACTTTTACGTGTTTCAGCGTGCACTTCTCGAGAGGCTTCTAGCAAGTCATAATTAAATCGGGCCTCATTCTCCACAACAAAATCAATAAAATACGGTCCTCATCATTCGCGACATGTTCCAGGATTAATTCTGATCAATTTTACCTATCAAAGAAACACATTAGCAGGATGAGCCAAGGCTGTGTGGATGTAGCAGATCCCTAAATATGATGTACCTTGACGGTCGATTAGGGGGTGTCCACTAGAAGGCAACATAAAGGCTGTGGTTTGATAGAATTTCGAATAATTGGAGCTATCAAGTAGGCCACGTTGTTGGTACACACATAAGTACAAATTCTGTACTTAGTTTCCATCATTAGTTACTTGTATTTCTATCATTATTGTACAAAATGAGTATGTGACAATCTAGCATATTGGGCTCCTCTCTGACCCAGGCCACACCTTGTACAGTGCTTTCTGCCTCTTTTGCTACTTGAAAGGTCATAAATATATTGCCTTTGATGAATAGCCATTCAGCTCAGTATTTAACGGCGGAACCTTCTATCCAAAAAAATAAAAATGGTAAGAATGGAAACTGCGTGCGCGGGAAAAAGTCTCAAAAAACCTTCAGCCCCAGCCATGCGAGGCCTAGACACCGGGACCACATGAGGTGCCCATATTCATCTATATCTCCCTTCTTTGTAACATTCAAGGCCGACTTGACCCAATCTGCCATCTCCGTATCGGGTGCTGGGTACGCTCCGGAAACTCATCGGATGGCTTTTCCTCCATGATCAAGGGCGGGTGATGAGTAGGGCTTCGACCCTACCACATGATGTGATCGTAGTTAGCTTCATGATAATGGTGATGGGGGAATATGATGAGAGATGAAGACGATACAGACCGTGAGAGCGATTGGGAATCCTCGTCGAAGTGAGGACTTTGTAACTCAATCCCGGCTCTGCAGACTCTACAGTGAGAGCTGGAAGTTCGTAGGGGACACCACTGACAGGTGTTGAGAATAGTCCCCCTCGTTAGTTACTTTATTCAATGCGCTCTATAACCTCAATGACTGAGGGGTCATTATTTTTTTAATCTAATTATTATTAATTCATTTTATTGTCCTGTCTGAGTCTATGACTATGTAGGACATTCAGGTCCTCTCTGCCTACAGTCCAAGGAAACCTATACCAGTAGTATGTCCCCCCCTATGCCTCCCATACAGCTCCCCTCAAACAGTACCACTACTCATAAGCCCTCATTCGATCATACACTTAGAGGAGCCCTTTGCCCTTCATTATCTCCCCTCTCCAGCCAACGAAACGATGGCCATTTGTGGGTGTATGGGAGCCGGGTAAAATCACAAAAACCACTGGGTGCGGGGCTCTTCTAGTATCGATATTAGGCCTAAGTCCGAAGACATAGTGACGCTCCTGAAGCTTTCGAAGAGGCTGGCCAGCTGGGCGCTGCAGACTTGTGTGATCCTCGGAAAATTCACACTCTGCCTTTCTAGCCTCCTTCCAACCCTTTCCCGAAGGTCGTGCCGAAATGTCAGGAAAGTCTTGACAGAGCGTGATTGCTGTATAGTAGCTTAGTCCAACTTCTTTTGTGCCGTCCACGGCGCTGGGAGTGCCGTTGACTCATCGACAATAGAAGTCCTCAACATCAAGGCTATAGAATATGTCATGTAGAGATATGATTTATTCATTAATTGATAGTGTTCAAACGATCATAACTCGAATTTAACGTCATTTTCAGACACAAACATCGATTTTCATTTTCGTTAAATTCATGATTATCTCTCACTGGTAGGAAAAACATTGACTATTTTCTGGAAACTTATTCAAGATGTTAAACACATAACAGAGACAAGGAGAATTACACTGGGCAATTAATTATGCTAATAAATCTAGTTCTTTAGGAATAAAACCTGGTTGCTTGACCCTTGAGGATTATGAGCCTTAAAATATCATATATAATAGAATATACAGAAAACCTCTAAGTCTCGATCATATTCTTAATTCATATCACCATCTATAGCTACAAAGAATAACTTTACCATTTTTTACAGAATTATCTCCCCTTGTTTACCAATAGCAGCTCGTGCCATATTTGTACTGAAAGTTATCGGCCGCTAACACTTGCATGAGTGGCGGCACTTCCAATCTTTTGAAAGAAGTTGATATGCAGCCGTTTTAGACTAGTTTTTAGAGAGAGGTTGTTCATCAACTGAAATGGTATTTAAGCCTTTGGCTCGTCTCAACACTATCAAATGCTGTAATGGGACGCCAAATACTGTGAATCGCGAGATTATAATTTAATTAACGATCGCTTAATAGTCAGGGTCTAATTTGTGGCCTTGGAGCCGAGGTGACAGAATTCTAATACTCAGAGACAATAATATAAGAGCAGGCATTTAGAATACAGTAGAAGTTGGAAAACAAGTCCATACTCTGACGAGTAAAGAGGACATAAGGACTGTTACGATAATCAGCGCTTCTGTCTGGCAGTATTAAAGAAGTTGTAGATTTTCGTCAGAATATTTTGAGAATTCTCTTCCATTTTTCTCTGTCCATGTATGATAGTTGAAAATCAGTATCAAATACGCATCAAGCTCTAAAAAAATTACTGAGAATTATCTTCGCTTATTAGTAGTTCGAGAATCGGGTTCATAAGCATCATCTGAAATTTCATCATCACTTAACTCCATGGAGACTTTTTTGGGAGCCTGGGATTGGGTGAGGTTCAGTAATGTCTGCTTTCCGCGTCGTGTGGTCCTGGTTGAAAGAGTTTGATTCGATAGTCCACCATCGTTGTCATCTTCAAAAGGGTCCACTGCTTTTTTTCGAGCTCGTGCTGTAGGTTTTGCTTTTTCTGCAGCTCGGGGCTTAGTTGTATTACGCTTTACTGGAGCCTTGACCGCCACAGTTTTCTTCTTAGGCTCCGTCACAATGGGAAGTTCATCATCACTCACGAAGAGTGAATTTTTAGCGCGCTTCGAGGCAACGGCTGATGTCGTATCCTCATCTTCGTCAATAATCACGGCGCCGGGCTGGTCTGCCCATTCCCCTTGCTCATCGGAGTCCCAGTTAAGCGGGCGAGGAAGTAATTTCCGTCTTTCTTTATTTTTCTTCAGAAGTCCTGCGGCAAACAATTTTTCGCGCTTGGTACGGATGATTTCCATCTGCTCGTCAATATTTGAAATTTCCTCCTCGTCTATGGCTAGCATTTCTCGAACTTGAAGTGTCAGACTTTCACTTACGAATTCTTCCATGGCATGATTATCTCCTTTCTCGACGAACTGCGTCACAGAATCACCGAATTCGGCTTGAGGTATTATTTTGAGGGATTGAGCAGTAAGAAACTCATGCACTAATTTAGAGACTTTGATACCATCTCCTTCCATGATATCCAGAACTGAAGCGTCTGGCATACTCTTGTCAATTACATTAGCTCCTGCTTTCAGTTAGGTTTGCCGAATATGAAGCATAGTAAGACTGACGTAAATTTTTTTTCTTTCGATGAAAGTATACAACATCATTCACATTAGCTACCTTATTTACAAATCTATTGGAGAACCGTTGCGGGTTTTCGCAGTCAAAATTGTATCCCTCAGGCGCAGAATGTTCTACTCTCAATCTAATTAGTGGCAAGGGAATGTCTTTTTCATCTAACTCTTCATCTTGTATAGAGAGCCACTCATCTTTCGCTTCATCTATGAGCTGCAACACTATTTTTTCAAGCTCATTTGTCAACAAAGTCCGATTATCTTTGAGCTTCATAAGTCTTTTAAAGCGTGTATCATTTTGAAGAACAATATCTTTCGTAAGAAACGGTCTAACAGATCTGATTCGATGCTTTTCTACTTTGAATTCTTTTCCTGTGATGCTGAGGACCGCAACATGCTTAGCTACAGCTTCGCTTGGAACAAGAGAAGTAGCAATTGACGACCCAGGTTGCATAACGTGAAATTGGGTTTCAAGATTTAGACGGGGATCAATCTGGCATTCATGCTCGTGACCCCAGATAATTAAGTCCAGAAATTTCGGGAGAAAATTTTCCGGTAAATAGTTCGTGTCACTGTGGGCATGATGGTTCTGATGTACAGCCATCAAGTTAAACCAATCCTGCTGCTGAACGCCAGGCCTAAAGAATTTGACATTGCCATCACGAAACGTTCTGAATAGTCGCTCATCCCTAACATTACTCATACCGTACAGGGCTAATTTTGTAAGTCCTTTTTGTACGAGGACAGGCTTTACCTGAATATTATCAGATTCAGGTATGCGACCAAAATAGTTACATAGCCCTGACACCTGTAGAAGATCTAGCGAGCAGAAGTTTCCATCGCCAGTTGGATCATCATGATTTCCATGAATCGAAAATACAGGAATAGCAATATTTATGTCAGGATCTTCGTAGTTGGCATGATTGAAAGCACCGTCAAAAACATCGCTGGCATCACTCAAAAACTCTAGCTCACAAGGTTTATCTCCCAAGCAGTTTTTTCGCAAAGATCGCATGACTTGGTACATGGATTTTCGAGAAGGCTTGTTTTCGTGAAAAAGATCTCCTGCAAGGAGAACCATGTCGACCTGTGACTATAAGAAATCACTCATTGAATTGACAGGTTCATACATCTTGAGACTTTGCTAGTTGCATTACTTCATCAAAACTTTTCCAGCTGTCATCCTTCTGGATAGGATCTCGTTCCCTGTATCCGACATGGCTATCTGTTGCCACTAAAATCCGGATCGTGTCAGCTAGCGATAGTTAGCAAATTAGAGATTAATATCTAGTGTGACAAACCGTCATTTGAGGTCATACCGTTACGAAGTATCTAGGGCTTATCAGACCATTGGTGACAAAAGATTCCTTGCCAGTGGGTTGTTGCGAGCCACGCGTATCCCTCTCGCTTGTAGACCGACCTTAGTTCCCCTTACTACAGCGCGTATCACTCCATCACAGCGATCTACTGACTTAGTAGCTATCCTAGATACAAACGGTCAGTAAAAATGATTACAACAAGAGTAGCATTAGCACGATCAATCTGGAAAGGTAACAAAAAAGTATAGTGACCGAGACCTGTACACTGTACTAATTTCTACAGGGCCAAATATTGTGCCGTGAGCATTAATTATTCATTTTATTCAGTTTGATTTATTCTGATAAATTATAAGCCTTGATATAAAAGTTATTCCAGGACAGAAAATACCACCCATCAAGACACAAGCTCGCTCTGCAACAATACTGCCTGATTTTATCGGTCTCATTTTCCAAGTCCACAATGGTAAGATTTACAATGATGTTGTAATCACGGAAAATATGGTAGGGCACAAGCTTGGCGAGTTTTCTCCGTGTGTAATTCAAGTCACACTCAATTCGATTGCTGACATAGTCATAGCACCAGGAAGCCATTTACTTATAAGCAGAGTAAAAATAAGTAGTGTAGAATACAAAAGGTATAGAAATCGAACACGCTATAAGCAAGAATTCAAATCTTGTATCAATATCACATCCGTTCTCCATATACTACACTTGTATAATTACTGAAAGCATGTGTAAACATCTTCATTTGACGGTAATAGCAGGTGTATCGACACAGACGCTGCCACAAAATACCTGAACTCCTTTTAAAGACGAAACCTAAAATCAGCTTTGCCGTAACTGCATTTTGTTTACCGATAGAATTCTCCTCGTTTGACGTTCACTCCGTACTCCCCCACTGCCATACCAAGATCTTCCATGGTAAGAACTGTTCTATTTTGGCTTCCGCCTTGTCCTCCGCCTCCGTAACCAGGACGTTGAATCCCTAGAGGTCCACCGCGGCCTTGTTGCTCCTTGCTACCTGGAGCTGCGGCAGGCTGTCCTGGCACAGGGAATCCTGCGGCAGCCCCAAGATTACTCATAGGATTATTGGCATTAGATGAGTTTGAAGATCGAATTCTAGAATACTGATAGGCATCCGCAGCGATGTCGGCGATAAATTTCTGTGTTGCAAGCGCAAGAAGGCGAGCAAGTCGAGGATCGGTCTGTGGTGGAGGAGGGAGGCCAGCTTTAGTAAGATAATAATTCGTAACTGCATCTGGAATCTGAATTGTTAATTGTAAGGCCTCAGAGCTACGTTAATGAGGCTCACAATGGGCGCATAATCATCCATTTTCGACAGAAAATCTTTCAAAGAGGCATCTTTCCGCGCAGGTAGCTTAGGTTCTGGAGCTGGTGCAACAGGATTTGGCTTCTCCTCATTTTCCTTGATTGGAGAAATATCGTGTTGTACATGAGGAGATTCTGCATTTGCCATTTTGCGTGTAGATAGATTTATCTGTGTTCATGCTGTCGCGTAGGTAGTGAGGCGTGACAATAGATGCTTTATCTCATATCATGTGATGTTAGGACGCAACGCGCTAATGTTATGAAAATTATCATCTCATTATATCGTCCCGGCACGACGCCATTAAAAAAAGTGCATAAAATAGCAACAAACAATCTTCTCAGCTTTACCATGACTGAGCATCGACTAGTGGACCCAGAAGTTTCAAGCGCGAAAAGAACAAAGACGAATGACCTAGATCCTTCAACGAACCCATATTTAGCCCATTATCACGAAGACAAGGAGTCTAGTATGAAAGACAAGAAAGATCTTTCGAAATGGAAAAGAAATAAAACCACAGCTAAGCAAGCCCGGCTTGCAGAAGATGGCCCTAACAACCCTTTCAATGAAAAGCCCCTGTCTCAAAATTACTTCAACATACTAAAGACCAGAAGGGATCTTCCAGTCTACAAACAAAGGTAAGCTTAATAGATCGGGTTGTTTGACTGGTATCTAAACAGAGTAGACAAGAGTTTCTCACGATGTATCAAAATTCCCAGATCTTGGTTTTTGTTGGAGAGACTGGTTCGGGAAAGACTACACAGGTACCACAGTACGTCCTGTACGACGACCTTCCCCACCTCAACGGAAAAATGGTTGCTTGTACACAACCTCGCAGGGTGGCTGCAATGTCTGTAGCTCAGCGTGTAGCGGATGAGATGGATGTCGAGCTTGGCGAAGAAGTTGGATACAATATTCGATTTGAAGATGTTACTGGACCTAAAACCATATTGAAGTACATGACGGACGGTATGCTTCTACGGGAAGCTATGAACGACCACGACTTGACGCGATACAGCTGTATCATAATTGATGAAGCTCATGAACGTACTCTTGCTACAGATCTTCTTATGGGCTTACTGAAGGAAATTGCTGACAGACGACCTGGGCTAAAAATAGTTATTATGTCGGCTACACTTGATGCGCAAAAATTTCAGAAATATTTCAACAAAGCACCGCTCCTAGCTGTACCCGGGAGAACCTATCCAGTCGAAATTTTCTACACTCCCGAACCAGAACGTGATTATGTTGAAGCCGCCCTTCGCACAGTTCTCCAAATCCATGCAACTGAGCCTGAAGGTGATATATTGTTATTCTTGACAGGAGAAGAAGAAATAGAAGATGCATGCAGAAAGATCTCATTAGAAGCAGACGAAATGGTCAGAGAAGCCGACGCTGGTCCTCTCAAAGTATATCCACTCTATGGATCTTTACCACCCCACCAGCAACAGAAGATTTTTGAGCCTGCGCCCCCACCAAATAGACCAGGGGCACGGCCTGGAAGAAAAGTTATCGTTGGAACCAACATCGCCGAGACCAGTTTGACAATCGATGGTATTGTCTATGTTGTTGACCCAGGTTTTAGCAAGCAGAAAGTCTACAATCCTCGTATCCGAGTGGAGTCGTTACTGATCTCACCCATTTCAAAGGCCTCTGCTCAGCAAAGAGCAGGTCGTGCAGGTCGTACCCGACCGGGTAAATGTTTTAGACTTTACACCGAGCATGCGTTCAAAACTGAACTAATCGATCAAACCCATCCTGAAATTCTTCGCTCAAATCTTTCAAATACAGTATTGGAACTCAAAAAGCTTGGGATCGTTGATCTTGTGCATTTTGATTTTATGGATCCACCCGCACCCGAGACCCTAATGAGGGCCCTCGAAGAACTGAACTACCTCGCATGTCTTGATGATGAAGGAGAGCTAACAGCGCTTGGTCAGCTCGCTTCAGAATTTCCACTTGATCCAGCTCTTGCTGTAATGCTGATAAGTTCACCGGAGTTCTATTGTTCCAATGAGATACTTTCTCTCACGGCCTTATTAAGTGTTCCTCAGATATTTGTTCGTCCAGCTAGTGCTCGGAAACGTGCTGATGACATGAAAGCTTTGTTTACGCACCCAGACGGAGATCACCTAACAATGCTAAACGTATACCATGCATTTAAGGGTGAAGAAGCACAGAGAAATCCAAAGGAATGGTGCCACAAACACTACCTAAGCTTGCGTGCTCTACAGTCTGCAGATAGTGTAAGGGAACAATTGAAGCGCATTATGACAAAATCCGAGCTCGAACTCATGAGCACCGATTTTACTGATAAAAACTATTTTAATAATATCCGTCGCGCATTAGTATCTGGGTTTTTCATGCAGGTTGCGAAAAAAGAAACTTCGGGCAAGAGTTACAAGACTGTCAAAGACGATCAAAGCGTATTGTTGCACCCGAGCACTGGGCTCGGAGTGGACAGTGAATGGGTACTCTATAATGAATTCGTTCTAACAACGAAGAATTATGTAAGGACCGTCACTTCTGTCAGACCTGAATGGTTATTGGTAAGTCTGATCTAGCCTACAGGCATCGAGATATACGTAACTAACAAAGTCGTCAGGACATTGCACCAAATTATTATGATCTTTCGTCCTTTCCTAACGGTGATATCAAGACTGCGTTGTGTAAAGTATCCGAAAAAGTAAAAAGACGGCAAGCTATGAAAGGGAAGCGATAAAAATCGTCGCCTCACCTCAATCAACTCAAATTTTCCATCTGTAAGTGACTCAAATTACTTATGATCACATTATGCTCAATACGCACGACTCCATAACTAAAGTCTGTGTAACTTAATAAAACTGCTCGCTTAAATGTAGGCGGCTCATACAAGAATAAGCAGTCCAACTAGAATCTACCATCTAATTGTAATAAGTGGGTAATTGATTTAGTGAATAAAGGAAGCTCGGAGCTTGGAAGTCAGTCATTCTTGGGCTACAGAATTTATATAATACTCACCCTTTGATGGGGTCTTTGCACTCCAAGTAGCAGTTTTACTTGATCTAAATCTTCATATTCGGTCTTGAAAAATACCAGTAAATTTTTTTCGGCTAGAGGATACAGTCCGAGGGGAAAAGTTTTTTAAGTTTTAACTTGTGGCTAGACGGTTGGAACCTGAATGGTAAGGTAAGTTTATCAGCCTAGGAATCGCTCAAATAATTTACATTTGCAGACGCTCTGCACGATTCTCATGATAAAAGTTGGGTATTATTTTTGAACACAAAATCTTATGACCAGTTTTACAGCTGCTTTCATCCTAAAGGCAGCATCTCAGTGCGCAATGTATGCATGTTAATCAGAGAAATAATAGATGAGACCACTGGAAGCAATCGGAGCTGTAATTTGCCTGCCAATAAGTTCTCTGAAGATCACCAAGGATACGTTACTTAGACCAAAGGAGTAGAGACTCTTTATAATTGACGTTCAATCTAAGTCCAATATTCTCAAATTATTACATTTAACATGTAATATTTCTCTAGTCGATACAACCCTCATTCTTGGCGCTGAATTTATGATTTAGCATAAATTATCATGTCTTCCACTGCAAATTTACATTTTGACATTTTTGAGTCTTTTGAGTTCTGAGTTCGTATAGGAATTTACTCCTGATGATTGCAGTTGTTATTAGTCCTGAGATTTTGGTTGTGTATGTAAGGTGAGAAATGAAGTATTACAGAGAAATAGATAAATGGCAGTTAGGAATGTAGTGCAAGTTGAGCCTGTGAGTGGTCTTCATAAGGAAGATTTACAACAAGAAGAACGAGAAAGGTTTTGGAAATTTTCAAGTAAAGGCAAGTAGGCTGCAGACAACGCCTTATTATGTAGATTTCCATTGTAAACTATTGCACAAAATTTACCTTCTCAGACCTGGAAGATTTGTGTCTAAGTGAAAGCCATGGCGTGTATAAGCGACATATCGTACATGCTAGAGACAGAATAAGGTACTAGTGATCCGCATAACTAATGCATGCAATCTTTCCACAGAACTCACAACTCACATTATGGCTGACTCCAACTAGTAAATCGGGTTGGATTTTTATCATGCTATTTGAGTTTGGCTTTCTAGCACTTCGGACTCCTCTAGATCAGGCCACGCCTTGTCCAGTCCTCATATCCTCAATGGTTATAAGAAAAGGCCTAATATTACTCCCATGATGGATAGCCGTTCAGCTTACTGATACCCGTGGAATTTAGCCACCCTTTAGATAGAACCTTCTACCAAAAAAATAGGTAGCGGTGGAAATTACATGCGCGGGAAAATGTCTCGAAAAACTTGCGGCCTAGCCAGACGAGCCCTAGAAATCGAAGGATAGATACTTTACACTTTTCTGTGGTGTCCACTACGAAACTGGGAGTGAAATGTTCTCCGAGAGCCAAGATCAGTCAAATTTCGTAGTACTAAAGAAGTTGGCCCACGAAGCGATGATTCAAGATACTTCACCAAATCAATCTCGCCCTCCCAATGAGATTGACACGGACCAAAGTCCCATCAAGTCTACAAGTACGATTAAGTGCATCCTAATTTCAATAACCAAGTCTCTCATCGACTATTTTCTGTCCTCAGCTGGTCACCAAATACACGCCCACGCCGATATGTATACCCGACGGAGGAAACAAAGCGTGGCGCACAAGTCTGGGAGACAGTTCTTTGGGATTGGCGTGAGAGGATTCAGGAAAAGTTAACAAGATGATGCGAATGATGGATACAGTCTCGACGGGCGTGGAAACTTGAATTTTTGGCATCCCAGAGCCAAGTTCAGTCAAATTTCGCAATACAGAACAAGTTGGCCCACGAGGCAATGATTCAAACTACTCCACCACGTCAAATCTTCACTTACAAAGAGTCCGATTTATACCTAAGCCTCATCAAGTTTACAAGTACCACCTAGTACATCCTCATCTCAATGACCACACCTCTCTTCGACCTTCTCTGGCCTCAGTTGACCACCAAATACACGCTCACGCCGATATTTGTATCCGCCGGGGAAAGCTAAGCGTGGCGCACAAATCTAGGAAGCTGTTCTTTGGGATAGACGTGAGAGAAATTAGGATAATTTTAGAAGATGATGCAGAGGAAGGATAAAATCTCAACTGGTATGAGATCTTGAACTTCTGCAAGGAGATTTACAAATTTAGCATTTTGTACGCCAAGACTTTGAATATGAGAGTGCAGCCGAAGCCATATACATAAGCCAAGGATGGAAGATGCCTTGGTCCGCTTCCTGGTGATTGTCTCCAGTGTATCTTGGGTAGCCTAGGCACCTTTTCACTTGGGAAGGAGACATCTCAAACCACATTTCGCACGGAGACAAGTAAATGGATGACGGAGGCTTGTCTGGATAACTCGAGGTTTTTGAGACGTTCCCCTGAGTGGGTATTCATGGATGAGGGCCGACTTGGGGGGGAAGAAAAAGCTGCCATAACTTCGCTGTGATACTCACAAATGAAATCCGAAGCATAAGCGCTCTTTCTATATCGAGTCATCTATTATTTACTTCTCTGATATTTTGTCACGACTAGATAGTTGCATACGCAATTTAAATGTGATGCAAAAAAATGAAAAGAGACCTTTAAACTGGAGCCGCGAGGTTTGCATGTCAATCTATATATCGCTTCTTTTTAGCGCAAGAGATCAATATGATCAAATCTGATATCTTCATACCGAGTGATAGGTATGCCTCGGAAACTCATCGGATGGAATTTAAATGAACAAGAAAAGAAAGGTGGATGGATGATGTGTATGGCATTGGCTCTTCGAATGAGTTTGAGCGTGGTTAGTTTTGTGGTATTCATGCTAGAAGGTTATCCTGAGAGATGAAGATGATATAGGTCGCCAGAGTAATGAAGAATTCTTCCTTTAGTTGGCACTTACGGAAGAAAATGTATTGTCTAGGGTAAAAGATCGTACCTCGTAGACCTATTCGCGCATGATATCCAGATTATGAATATCTTTGGAGGCATAAACTTCATGCAGAATAGGAAAAATTTCCATGTATAATTGCAGTTTAGCTGAATGCATATTAAGTAATCTAGAAGAGTAACAACTCTACTGGAATTCAGCCGAATTGACAGCGAAACCACCATAAAAATATCGCAACATGAGGACCATTTTTGAACTAGCGGAATGCATCTGATAGTGTCTTAATCTATATATTTGGAGTAAATCCAATCTGGCTGCGGTCAGGAAGTCTAGCTTAGCAAATAAACATTCTTCGCAAAATTATTAGCGATCTTCTAGCCGATTTCAGGGCAAAAACGTGCATCAACGTTGTTATGTTTGGACACGCGGGAGATATAGACTCAATAGCCTCGCACTCGCCATTTTTATCCTCTAGACTAACACCTACCCCATTCGAGACAGGAGAAAGCTGGTTCGAATCCAGTAAAACCCACACACCACACTCTCTCGCGGTGATACTTTGCTTGTGGGATGATGAAAGCACACTCGGATAGCCACAGGTTTTTCACCCTTTTCCCTGTGGTGGGTATGCACGGAAGAGGTTATACGCCATAAGGGTTAACCTCGAGTGGTATCTGCAAATGAAATCTGAGTGTGAGTGTTCTAAGTGTCAAATTGAGTCATCCTACTTAAAGTACATATCTTCCGATAAATACCTGCATGGGCCTCGAGGCGCCAAATCAGGTAAAAGAACTATATATATATATATCCTCTAGACTGAGATATGGACAACTCTGAGCCAAGTCAAAAGATTGACGTGTATGGGAGCACTCTGATATATGACAAGCCTCTGGACGAATTTTGAGAACAGTTCGTCGTGCTCACTACATACCGCCCGATTTGACTGGCATTTAGGAGAGGCGTCAGAGCTGCAGTAAACATAGTCTAGAAAGACAAACGACGGTTCGGCTGCATGTCCTCGTACTCAGATAACTGCTGGGTCATATCCAGTCGCATCTACCCCTCCGCCAACCAACGTGAAGCTCTCAACCCTTTGCGAAGACCTATCTATAGCCGCTTCCAGTCACTTCATTGACTATTTTGAATGAAAACTAGGCATCTACAATGATACCCACAATCAAACTTTGTCGGCTTGTGCGGACACCTACGATTTTGTCGTTGCTAACGCGGCCTGTTGATGCCCAGCAACCCTGTGGTTACCGTTCAGAGCAAGTCCCCGCTTCACACAGTTGATAAAACAGGAAGGACTAGAATGAACCATAGAAGAACACCTTCCAGTATCCACAAACACCTGAGCAGGGCCTAGAGCAGTAAAGCCATGTCGATAGGAATCGAACATATCGAGTTCAATTCATATCTGCACAGAAGAAAAGTTCCAGGAGTAGATAATCCACGATGCCAATGTGGATATCCATCCCAAAATGTGAAATATATGATCACGACCTGCACCAGCTGGGCCAAAGGAAGAGTAGAAATACTGAGACCGGCAGAGAACTGGTTATTCGAGGCCATGATGAACAATCCAAAAGACATCGCAAGAATAACTGGATTGATTCAGCAGGAAGGACGGCTGGAACAGTTTTGACCGAAAGCTGAATTAGAAGCGACAATCAGAGAGAGGGAAGAAGCTAGAGGGAAGACAAACTTCTACAAGCATAGGGGAGAGGACGTTATCTGCATTGGACATTAAATTGTTAGTGCACTTCTCGAAAGTAACCCAACATTAAAGTGTAGACAAATTGAATAGTCGAAGGGGTTTT